GTTCCGATCCCTCACTGGGGAAGCTACACAAGCTGCACGGTGTGGCAAAAAACAAAAAACAAAAATAAATAAATAAATAAATTGAGGTGAAATTGACATATAAAATTAACCGTGGTAAAGTGAACAATTCAGTGGTATTTATTATATTCATAATGTGCAACCACCACCTCTGTCTAGATCCAAAATGTTTTCGTCACCCCAGAGACATACCGGTAGGAATTACTCCTGATTCCTCCCTCCTCCCAACCCTTGGCAACCACTAGTCTGCTTTCTGTCTCTATGCGTGTGCCTATTCCAGACATCTCCTATAAATGGAATTATCCACTATGTGACCTTTGGTGTCTGGCTTCTTTCACTCAGCATAATGCTTTCAAGGTTCATCCACATTGTAGCATGTGTCATTGCTTCGTTCCTTTCTAGGCTGAGTGATATTCCATTGTATGGATGGACCATATTTTGTTTATCCAGTCATCTGTTGATGGGCATCAGGGTTGTTTCCACTTTTTGGCTATTGTGACTAGTGCTACTATGAACATGCATGTACATGTAACATTAAAATGGTCAATTTTGGGCTTCCCTGGTGATGCAGTGGTTGAGAGTCCGCCTGCCGATGCAGGGGACACAGGTTCGTACCCCGGTCCGGGAAGATCCCACATGCCACGGAGCGGCTGGGCCCGTGAGCCATGGCCGCTGAGCCTGGGCATCCGGGGCCTGTGCTCCGCAACGGGAGAGGCCACAACAGTGAGAGGCCCGCGTACCACACACACAAAAAAAAGGTCAATTTTATTTCATATGAATTTTACCTCAATATATTTTTTTTAAAGTGATGCTGTCAGCTGAGAAGGCCCAGAAGCAACAACATCAACTCCCACCCTCAGTAGCAATGAGCAGACTCAGCATCCAGGTCTTGGCTTCTCAATGCCACTCTCCAGTAAAGGGAACACAGGCTCCTTGGGAAAATGGCTGATACTAGGACTGGGGCAGGGGAAATGCAACATGAGCCTGGAACATCTTGTGGTGCCAGACAGTAAGAAAGTACTTAAAAAAAAATATATATATATATATAGAGAGAGAGAGAGAGAGAGAGAGAGACAGAGAGACAGACAGACAGAGAGACAGAGAGACAGAGACAGAGAGAGATAGTCATGTCAAAAGAGCAGTGCCTGAAAGAAAATGCTTAGAGCAGAGACCAATTGAAAGAGCTCCCAATGGCCAAAGCTGGAACAATTTGGGTGGTGAAATAAATAATAATAGTATTGAATTTTAACCCAAAGAATAAAAATAACTATTCATGAGTCCATATTGGTATAAACAAATAATTGCACAAGTAAATAAATGGAGATGAAACAACTCTTCCTTACAGAAGAATTCCAAATAATAAATAATAGCATATGCACACGATCCACCAATGAATGCTAATATCAGTGGGTGGAACGGGAAACAGGATCTTTGCATAGCCTCAAAGCATTTATTAGTTAGTATAGTTTTAACATATGTCCACAAATTCTTCCATACTCCTCCTCCCAGATGGTGGAGTTTAATTTCCCTGCTCTGGATGGAGGCTGGGAATGTTCTGTTTCTGGACCCGAGGGGTGGATGCAGAAGTGTGTTCAGTTTGTGAAAATTCTTCCAGGTGTCCACTGATGATCTGGGCACTTTTCTGTATGTGCCCAGATCTGTATGAACTTTGATAAAAAGTTCAACTTGTTAGAATGAAAAAAAAAAAAGGAAAAAAAAAAGATATAGACTCAGTTATGTTTCAGAGATTCAGTTATCTGTTTCAGAGATGCCCAGGTTGGTGTTAAAACTAATTAAAAGCAGGGAATTCTCTGGCGGTCCAGTGGTTAGGACTCCGAGCCCTCAATGCAGAGGGTCTGGGTTCAATCCCTGCTTGGGGAACTAAGATCGCATAAACCATGTGGCATGGTGACAAAAAAAAAAAAAAAAAAAAAAACGAATAAAAAGCAAAGAAGTGGTGATGGCTGAAGTCAGGATGGTGGCTACCTCTGTAGGGGAGAAATTGTGACTGGGGATGCGGGGCGGGGGGGCTTGACACCTGTGGTGCTGGCACTGTCCTTCTTCTTGATCTGGGTAATGATGACATGAGTGTTTAAAAAAATCATTATTTTTTAAATTGAGCGAATTGCAATGTTTTTCACATTTTGGTGGTGTCCTGGAGCCGGCTTATACTGACTTGTGAAAACTGATTGTTACCTTTTCAGGAATTTGGCAACATCACACTGATATCACGCTGGTAGCTTGAAATTGGCCAGAAACCTATAACTGGTATAAATCAGGGCCTTTTTTTTTTTTTTTTTTTTCCGGAGAGCCCATTGGGGTTTACTTTTTTTTTTTTTTTTTTTTTTTTAATATTTTTAAAAAGTGAAGTATAGGGGACTTCCCTGGTGGCGCAGTGGTTAAGAATCTGCCTGCCAATGCAGGGGACATCCCTGGTCTGGGAAGATCCCACATGCCGCGGAGCAACTAATCCCGTGTGCCACAGCTACTGAGCCCGTGCTCTAGAGCCCACGAGCCGCAACTACTGAAGCCTGCACACCTAGAGCCCCCGTGCTCTGCAGCAAGAGAAGTCACCGCAATGAAAGGCCCGCGCACCGCAACGAAGAGTAGCCCCCGCTCGCAGCAACTAGAGAAAACCCGCATGCAGTAATGAAGACCCAACGCAACCAAAAATAAATAAAATAAAATAATTTATTTTTAAAAAAATTGAAGTATAGGGACTTCCCTGGTGGTCCAGTGGCTAAGGCTCCGTGCTCCCAATGCAAGGGACCCGGGTTCAATCCTGGTCAGAGAACTAGATCCCGCATGCCACAACTAAAGATCCCGCGTGCTGCAACTAAGGCCTGGTGCAGTCAAATAAATAAATAAATAAATATTTTTAAAAAATTATTTAAAAAATTGAAGCGTAGTTAATTTACAATGTGTTAGTTTCAGATGTATAGAACAGTGATTCAGTTTACACACATATATATATATGTGTGTATATATATATATATTCTTTTTCAGATTTTTTCCCTTATAGGTTATTACAAAATATTGAGTATAGTTCCCTGTGCTATACAGTAGGTCCTTGTTGGTTATCTATTTTATATATAGTAGTGTGTATATGTTAATCCCAACCTCCTAATTTATCCCTCCCCCACCCCTTTCCCCTTTGGTAATGATAAGTTTGTCTTCTGTCTGTGGGTCTATTTCTGTTTTGTAAATAAGTTCATTTGTATCTGGAAAGCCCACTGTTAAACATTGCCCAGCACACGACAGTTCCTCTCTGTATATGATATTAGTTAAACGTTTAAAAATTATATTTAAAATTATGGTAACATACACATAACATGAAATGTACCATCTTAACCATTTTAAGTGTCCAGTTCAATGACATAAAGTACATTCACATGGTCGTGCAACCATCACTACCATCCATCTCTACAACCCTTTTCATCTGCGAAACTGAAACTCTGTTCCCATAACAATTTTTAAAAAAATAAATTTACTTATTTATTTTTGGCTGCATTGGGTCTGTTGCTGCACGCAGGCTTTCTCTAGTTGCGGCGAGCGGGGGCTACTCTTCGTTGCGGTTCGCGGGCTTATTGCAGTGGCTTCTCTTGTTCGGGAGCATGGGCTCTAGGCGCGCGGGCTCAGTAGTTGTGGTGCATGAGCTTAGTTGCTCTGTGGCATGTGGAATCTTCCCGGACCAGGCCTCGAACCCGTGTCCCCTGCATTGGCAGGCAGATTCCTAACCGCTGCACCACCAGGGTAGTCCCAACATTTTTTTTAATCCTTAAAAATTTTCCCTAGGGGGAGGGATACATTTGGAGATTGGGACTGACATACACACACCACTACAAATAAAATAGATAACTAATAAGAACCTCCTGTATAGAACAGGGAACTCTACTCAATACTCTGTAATGGCCTATATGGGAAAAGAATCTTAAAAAACAGTGGATACATGTGTATGTATAACTGATTCACTTTGCTGTGCACCTGAAACTAACACAACATTGTAAATCAACTATACTCCAATAAAAATCAAAAAAAATATTTTTTCCCTTGGAGAGCATGAGCTCTGGAACCAGAGGCTCTGTTTGAACCCCAACTCCCACCTCCACTTACTAGCTGATCTTGGGCACCTTAGGTCACTCTTCTGTATCCTCACCTGTAACCTGGAGACAGTCTTAGTCCTAGTCTCATAGTCCAGTGGCTCTTAAAGTTGTGGTTTCTGAACAAGGACCTACTGTAGAGCACAGGGAACTCTGCTCAATGTTATGTGGCAGCCTGGATGGGAGGGGAGTTTGGGGGAGAATGGATACATGTGTATGTATAGCTGAGGCCCTTTGCTGTGCACCTGAAAATATCACAACATTATGAATTGGCTATACTCCAATATAACGTAAAAAGTTAAAAAAAAAAAAAAAGTGTGGTTTCTGGACCAGCAGCATTAGCATGGCCTGGAAATTTGTTGCCAATGCAGATTTTAAGACACTCTGCACATAGGGCCCAGTGATGTGTGTTTTAACAAGCCCTCCAGGAGATTCTGAGGCTTGCTCAAATGAGAACTATTATCATAGGCTGTTGGGAGGATTAAATCAATTAAACAAATATACATATTTAGAGCAGTGCCTGGCCCCACAGTGCATACTGTGTAAGCACTCATTATTCTTGTTGTTATGGAGAAGGCCTGGGACCCTAGCAGTATGGTGGTGATGGGGGGCTGGCTGTGCCCTCTCTCCCGGTCTGGTGGGGGTCTGGGTTCCTGGTCTCTGCTAAGTGGAGGCCTTCTCACCTCTCCCTGTTGAAGATGACAGTGAGCTGGACCACGTCACCCCATCCCTGGTGAAAGGTTATCGCTTGGTCTAGGAAACGGGAAAGGTCAGTGCTGGAGGGGTGGAGGGGGCCACGTGCCTGCCTCCTCTCTGCTAGTGGAGATAAAGGAGGTCACTTCGCTCCCCCATGACAGGCATGACAAGAGGGGGGAGCTAAGATGTATAAATGGGGGGCCAGGAGGCGGTGGAGGCACCAACCACAGGAAGCTGCCTTGCTGTGCCACCTCTCACATCTCAGGCAGTCCTGTCCAGCATGGCCAAACGTCCTCTGCTGCTGCTGCTGGCCATGGGGGTGCTGGCTGGGGAGCTGTGGACCGAGGCCCAGGCAGCACCCTACGGAGTGAAGCTTTGCGGCCGTGAATTCATCCGAGCAGTCATCTTCACCTGTGGGGGCTCCTGGTGGAGAGGTCAGACATCCTGGCCTGTGAAGCTATGGGTGAGGCTGGGGAGGTGCTGTGTGTGTGTTAGGGACATTGACAGGACACAAGATGGGTCCAAGGAGCCAGGGACAGAGGTGAGATGAGGGGCTGGGGCAGGAGAGTCCCTCCTCCACCACATGCAGCTGGGGAGATGGGCCAGGCCCTCAAAGCTGTGTCAAGGCTGGGGGAGCCGGATGGGGGAGGGGCAGCAAGCCATCCACACCAGCTAAAAGTCTGCTGCTACTTGGGAGCCCTGTGCCCTGCATTAGGCAAGGCTGCTCTTTGCACAACACTGGGAAGTGCCTTTCAGAAGCCGAAACTAAAGTGTTTTCCAAGCCTTCAGAGAAGGGAGTGTGAGGGGTGTGGTGAGTACAAGGCTAGATTTGCCACCTAGTAGGTGACCCTCCTACCAAGTTGCTTTCCTCCCCTGATCCTCTTTATCTGCAAAAGGGAGGCACAGCCCCTGTATCTTGCAGGTTTGTTAAGCAGCAAAATTCAGTGAAAACAGATTAGGACAAAGTTGAGTGCCTACCATGTGCCAGACACTATTCTAAGTTTTTTTTTTTTTTAATGGGTATTAATTAAATCATCTACTCTGTATAAAACCCTGGAAGGTAGGAGTTATTATCCCCGTTTTGCCGACAAGGAAACGGAAGCTGAGAGATGATAATGGGATTGGTGCTCAGTCAGTTCAGCTCAGCTCCCAAACACATGTTCTTAACCATCAGGTCCTCAGTAAATAAATAGTAGGGGAAAAGATACGACAGAAGAGGAAAGTCAAGCTCAATGAGGTTGAGTAAGCTGCCCATCAAAGCGGGAACCCAGGTCTGAATGGAATCAAAATCTTTACTCAGGAGGCTGAGTCACAAGAACAGAGAAGTAGCTGGACCAGCCAGGAGCCTGGACTCTGGGTTTGACAGAGTCCCAAGCACTAACTCTTTTCATCTTTTGCAAGGGATGCCTTCCCAGACGCAGATTCCAATGCAGACAGCGAGCTGGATGAGGCAGTGGCCTCCAGCGAGTGGCTGGCCCTGACCAAGTCCCTCCAGGCCTTCTATAGAGGCTGACCGGGCTGGCAGGGCACCCCAGGGGCTCTGCGGGGCAGCCGCAATGTCCTGGCTGGCCTCTCCAGCAACTGCTGCAAATGCGGGTGTGGCAAGAGTCAAATCAGCAGCCCCTGCTGGAAGGGCAACTGGGCAGCCCGGCAGCACCAGGGTGAACGCCCCAGCCCTGCCATCCACCTAACCGGTATCCAGCTGGGCACCTGTTTCTGGCCCCTCATGCATTCATTCATCAGCGAGTCTCAGAGGTCAGGCACTGCGGACTTGGACAGAGTCCCCCCCGCCCCGACCCAATCCTGACCTTTGAGCAGCCTGCCTATCCTGACCCTGAGCAAGCTGTGCCCCTACCTGGCCAAATGGGGACCCTGACCTCTCCGCAGCCCATATCACGCCTTTCCTGTCCTATACTGTCTCCCGCCGCAAAGGACGCCCCTACTCTACCCAAACTGGCCACACCGAGACCCTTACCCAAACTGTGACTCTCTCCTGTCCCAACTGTGGCCGCTGTCCCCTTGCCAGCCCCAATTATACCACCACCCCATTCCAGCCTTTGCCCGCTCCCGTCCCCGTCTGCCAGCCCCTCTTCCTCCGACCTCGCCTGCTGGGGGTTCTAAAGCTGCGGACCCCAGGGTTGGTGGAGGGGCCCCTGGGTTCCCTTCATATCCTGGGGTGGGAAGCTCAGTGGGGAGAGCGGATCAGAACCTTCTCCAACCCCAAAGATAAAAAGTTCCAAAGGACTCGGCAGCCTGTTGGGGGAGAGGAGGGGCAGGTGTCTGCGGAGCTCGGCCACGCCTCAGCGCCGCCCACCCCCTACTACCCCTCCTCAGCCCCGCGAGGGACTTTCCGGTGCAGCGAAGGGGCGGGAAGCCGAAGCGCAAGGTGCGGAGGCGGCTGGGAGGGGCGGCTCCGCTTCCCTTTGCTGTTCGGGCGCTGGACCCAGAGAGATAATCGGGCGGCGCTGCAGCGCTGGGCCGGGCAGGGCCGGGCCGGACTGGGGGCGCGGGGACGCCATGCGGGGAACCCGGGCCGCTCCCTTCCCGCCGCGGCGGCGGCCGAAGCTGGTTTTGCTGCCTCTGTTGATGCTGCTATTCTGCAGGACTCGGCCCCAGGGTGAGTTACGGAGCGAACTCGTGTCGGCGCTCTGCCGCCGCGCTCCGCGGAAACGCACATCCTCCAGGGTGAACCGCAAGTTTGTGGAATGAATGACAAAGGTCCGGATGCCACTCTGCTCCCCCCCGGGACAGGGACCGGGCGATGAGAGGAGTTGGGGAATGGGCGGCAGCGAGGTGGGAGCCGGGGTCCGGGGTTGGGGGGCGGTAGGGGAAAGGGCTCTTCGGGTGGTAACAGGATGTAGCTGGTAGAGGGAGGGGAGGAGTTATGCCCGAAGCCTGGGGAGCGGTACCCAACGCCCCCTTCCTGCCGATCACTTCCGTCAGGGGTGGGGGGAGTTCAAGTTCTGGGGTGTGAGGGCGGCTTGGGGAATTGACCCCCTTCCCTCGGACCCTCCCTCCTCCCTCTCCAGGCAGCCCTGGGCCATTGCAGTGCTATGGATTTGGACCCTTGGGCGACTTGAACTGCTCATGGGAGCCTCTTGGGGACCTGGGAGCCCCTTCCACGCTGTACCTCCAGAGCCAGAAGTAGTGAGTGCGATGGAGTGATGTGGGGAAACAGAGGCTTTGGAAGCGTCACCACTCAGGTTCTAGACTTCTCAGGTTGAGAGGACCCATGAGTCCTGCCCACCCGCACCCCCCAGCCCTGCCCCACTCTCAAGCCCTTCACTTCCAGGTTCCCTCATGTCCTTGCTGTGTTACCCCGGACCAGTCACTTTCCCTCTCTGAGCCTCTGTTTCTTCCTCTATCAAGTAGTGATAATAATGGAACCTGCCTCTCAAGGCTGGTTCTGAGAATTCAATGAGTTAGGCGCTTGGGAAAGAAAATGCTTAATGATTAGAAGCTGTTTTTATTGCTGTGTGACCTTAGGCAAATAGCTAAACCTCTCTGAGCATATGAAAAGATCATTTGGTCTGGTGCCAGGGATGCAGCAGTGAAAGAGACACAGAAAGCCTTGTGGAGCCCACATTCTGAGGGGGTGACTGATGTTGCTTCACAATGAATCACACCTGGAAACACAAATTCATTTCAAATTTGGCTAAGTGAGAGGAGAGGGAAAGGAACATTTGAAGATGGGAACTGGGATGGGAGGCTGGTCTTTTTTTTTTTTAAACGATGGTAAAATACACATAAAATTTACCAGCTTTTTTTCTCAGCCTTTTTTAAGTGTACAGTTCAGTGGAATTAAGTACAGTCACGTTGTTATGCAACCATCACTACCACCCATGTCCAGAAGGGGGGCGGGGGCTGGGGTTTTAAATTGGTAGAGGATGAGGGAGTAAGAGAAGGTCTTCCGCTTTTTTTTTTAACGAGGTGAAATTCACATAACATGAAATTAACCATTTGCAAGTGAACGGTTCAGTGGCATTGAGAATGTTCGCAATGTCGTGCCACCAGTGCCTCTATCTAGTTCTGAAACATGTCCATCACCCCAAAACGAAGTTCCATCCCCAACAGCAGTCACTTCCTATTCCCTGGCAACTACTAATCTACTTTCTGTCTCTGAATTTGCCTGTTCTGGACATTTCACATAAATGGGATCATATGGCATGTGGTCTTTTGTATCTGGCTTCTTTCACTTAGCATGTTTTTCAGGTTCATGTATGTCGTAGCGAATCAGAACTTCGTTCCTTTTTGTGGCTGAACAATATTCCACTGGACGGATATACTATGTTCATCCACTCATCTGTTGATGGACATTTGGGTTGTTTCCACCATTGGGCAATTGCAATTGGGTGATCGTGACTAGCACTGCTTTGAACATAATGTGTACAAGTTTTTGAGTCCTGTTTTCAGTTCTTTGGGGTATATGCCTAGGAGTAAAATGGCTGGGTCATATGGCAGTTCTGTGTTTAACTTTTTGAGGAACCACCTAACTGTTTTCCGCAACAGCTACGCCGTTTTATGTTCCTACCAGCAGCGTAACATAACACATGTGTTTTTGTTGTTTTTTTCTGAAGGCCTTGATTTGAACCTTTGAAATCCAACCTTTTGGGATGTCCTCAACTCCTCTCTCTCTCTCTCTCTGTCACCCACAGCAGGCCTTGCCAGCTCTACCTTCTACATTATCCAGAATCTGGCACCCCTCACTTCCTCAGCACCCACCATAGTCCAGTTCCCATCATCGCTGGCCTGGACCGTGCAGTCACCTCCTCCCTGGACTCGGTTTCCACCCTTAGCCCCACAGTCTGTTCTCCACCAAAGCATCCAGAGGACACCTGTGAACTTCTGTTTTATTATTTTTTTTAATATTTCTTTCTTTCTTTATTTGGCTGTTCTGGGTTTTAGTTGCAGCATGTGGGATCTTCGTTGCGGCATGCGGGATCTAGTTCCCTGACCAGGGATCGAACCCGGGCCCCCTGAATTGGGAGCACGGAGTCTTTTTTTTTTTTAATTAATTTATTTTTTAATTTATTTTATTTTTGGCTGCGTTGGGTCTTCATTGCTGTGTGCGGGCTTTCTCTAGTTGTGGCGATTGGGGGCTACTCTTCTTTGCGGTGCGTGGGCTTCTCATCGCAGTGGCTTCTCTTGTTGCGGAGCACAGGCTCTAGGCGCGCAGTATTCAGTAGTTGTGGCACACAGGCTCAGTATTTGTGGCTCGCGGGCTTAGTTGCTCTGCGGGGCATGTGGGATCTTAACGGACTAGGTCTGGAACCCCTGTCCCCTGCATCGGCAGGTGGATTCTTAACCACTGGACCACCAGGGAAGTCCCGCACCTGTGAACTTCTGAATCAGGGCATGCCCCTCCCCAGCTCACAGCCCTCCAGGGCTCCCACCTCACTCAGGGTAAAAGCCGAAATCCTTCCTGCAACCCATCAGGCCCTGTATAATTTGCCTGTCACCTCCCTGCCCTCACCTCCTCCCACTTTCTCGCTCACTCACTCTACTCCAGAGTACAAGCCTCCTCCTCACTGTTCTTCGTAGAACGCCAGGCACAGTTTGGCCACAGGAGCTTTGCACCAGCTGCTCCCTCTTCCTAAAATGCTCTTCCCGAGGTATTGCGTTGTTCCACACCACATCCTTCAGGCCTTTATTCATATGTCTCATCAGAGAGCTTTCCTGACCACCTTTCCTAAAATAGCACTGTCACTCTTCATCCTATCATCACACTGAATCCATCTCACCCTGCTTTATTGTTCTCTGTATCGCTTATACCACCATCAGTTATATATTTATGAGTTTCTCATTTGCCTCCCCCACTGGAACACCAGCTCCGGATAGTGGATCCTTGCCTGCTTTGGTCATAGTCCTGTTCCCAGCTTCTACAACAGAAGTATATATTTCCTGACTGAACAGTTGCATAGAAGTAAATGTGCGTATATGTAATAGGTGCTCAGTAAACAAAATAACCAGTGCTCATATAACATGTATTGTGCCCCTGACACTTGCTGTTCTAAATGCAGTCCATTTCTCATCTCATTGTTCCCCTCCCCTATCCAGCCCTTTCAGCAAGCACTTTTTTTAAAAGACATTTATTTATTTATTTATTTGTTTGGCTGTGCCGGGTCTTAGTTGAGGCACACTGATCTTCGTTGGGGCGTGTGGGATCTAGTTCCCTAACCAGGGATCGAACCGTGGTCATTGGGAGCACCGAGTCTGAGCCACTGGACCACCAGGGAAGTCCCTCAGGAGGCAGTTTTATCACCCTCGTTTTGTAGATGAGGAAGCTGAGGCACAGAGAAGTTAAGTTGCTTGCTCAAGGTCACACAGCTCTGAAGCAGGAGAACTGGGATTTGAACCCAGGCAGAAGATATGTTATCATTGCGGCTCTGGGCCCAGTCCACCGTATGCTGCCCCGATTCTCGCATCTCTCCTCACAGCCATTCCAACAAAACCTGGACTGTGGCAGTGCCCACTGGGCAGAGCTGGGTGACCATTCCACGGGAACAGCTCACCACGTCTGACGAACTCCTTGTCTGGGTGGCCAAGGCAGGACAACCTCTCTGGCCCCCAGTCTTCGTGAACCTCGAAACCCGAAGTAACAGGCGGGAGTGGGGGTTTGCTATGTGTGGGGTGGGTGGTCTTGGAGGCCCTGGCTCAATGCACCTCCTCTTCCTCAGTGAAGCCGGATGCCCCCCAACTGTACCCTGATGTGGACTTCTCAGAGGATGACCCCCTAGAGGCCACTGTCCAATGGGCCCCTCCTATGTGGCCACCCCATAAGGTCTTGGTCTGCCAGTTCTACTACCGAAGATGCCAGGAGATGGCCTGGATGCTGGTGAGTGTCAGGGACCCTTTTCCCCCACCCTGCTCTGGGCGGGGCCCGGGACATCATTCCCAAATCAGACACCTAGCTCAGAGCTCATTCCTCAGCTGGCCCTGGAGTCTGTCCACATTCCTCACAGAAGGCCTGTACATGCATCTTGTTCAGCTAAAAAATGTTCCCCCAAGATAACCTATAAACCATGCAGTCCCAATCCAAATTCCACTTGGAATTTTTTTTTTTTTTTTTTTTTTTTTGGCCACGCCGCAAGGTTGTGCTTGCGGGATCTTAGTTCCTCGACCAGGGATTGGACCCGGGCCCTCGGTAGTGAAAGTAAGGAGTCCTAACCACTGGGCCTCCAGGGAATTCCTTCCACTTGGAATTTTTGAGAAACTCAGTAAACTTCCTCTAACATTTTTGCGAATGAATAAAAATCCTCAAATAGCTTACATTAACCTTAAAATAAGAGGTTAACAGCAGACACTTAGCATCTACTGTGTGCCGTCCAGTGTTCTAAACTGTCTATTGAATCCTTACAAGACTCTTTGAGGTAGATGTGTTTTATGCCTGCCCATTTTACAGATGACGAACAGAGCCTGGTTTTCAGTAAACGCTCAAAAGTAATAAAAGCAGCT